TTTTGTCAAGCAAAATCTAGTGTTATTCACAGCTTTTTTAAACAGAACATCGAATAAAACATTTGCAAAGTACAACTTGGAGCTGGAAATACTTTTTAAGATGAAAGGCTGGTAAAAATAATGGTGCTTGGCTCATCCATGAACACAGACAAAGGATTAGTTGTTATTTCTGACAAAGTGCATTTAGCACTGAAGTTTAATCTTTCGTGTTTATGAAATGTACGATTGCTTTATACTATTGACTGCCGTTTACTTTTAGCAATTTTGTTGAGATATGGCTGTTCAAAATATTATATTCTGGTGTTAAATACATAAAAGCTGAAATATCTTGATGATATTTTTGTAAGTCAATTTCCTGGCTATTTATCCGTTAAGTTCATTATCAACTGAAATGAATAATTTGAACATTTACTCAGAAGCCATTTCAACTCTGATCAAAGGGCTTCTTCCTCACAAGATACAACCAGTGTTGTACTTTGAGTATAGCATTCCTTTGCATATATACATGAGAGTAAGTTAGATTGAACGCTATGAAAATTGTTCTGAAATAACAGCCGTTTATTAATGAAAAGACCCACACAAATTGTAAAGTAACATCCCAAAGCGCTGTTTTTTGGGGAATGCAGTGGAGAGGAAATTAATTTCTCTATATCTAACCACAACATTTGGCTGTTGAGAGACTGATTAAACATAATCCTTTTTCAAAAGTGTTGAAGATTTTGTGAAACCTGGAGCTGTGCAGTTCCAGATACATTTGTCTTTATTTTGATTTACCTTGGGCTGAAGTTAAAAAAAAACTTACTTGCCAAACCAGCTGTTTCGGTATCATTTCATCTCCTACCTCAACAATAGCAACAAAAGGTTTTGGAACTAAAGTGCCCTACTTCATTATCTTTCATGCACTTCAGAGAAGTGTGTGAAAACTTGTTAGCTTTGTTTTGCACAGGTGCTAATTAAGGAGAACTTTAGAAAGCAGACTCCTTCCTGTTGCAGGTTCCAAGAAATGCGGTAAGGGGACAGCTGTAGATTGATTATATATTAGAGTTCTGAATTGGTGACATAACAGCAAAAGGTACCTTTCTAGGAAGATTTGGAAAATAACGAAGGAGCAAGCATATTTCACTGGCAGAGCATAAATTTGGCTTTGTAAAATGCTCCAGGCAAGATGTCTGGCATCAACATTGTCACCAAGTCTAGATTAAGGAGGATGCTAAACTTCCTGTCCCACAAGCTGTAATCACCATGGTCAGTGATGAGATTGTTGTGAGTTGTAGTTCAGCAGGGTTTGTAGATTCACCACCGTTGTCCTAGATACAGGTAGTCCTTGACTTACAAACCCAGTGGAGCCCAAAATTTCTGTTGCCAGATGCGACAGTTGTTAAATGAGTCTTGCTCCATTTTATGACCTTCCTTGCCATAGTTGTTAAGTGAATCACTGCAGTTGCTAAGTTAGTAACAAGGTTGTTAAGTGAATCTGGCTTCCATATTGATTTTGCTTGTCAGAAGGTCACAAAACGGGACTCACATAACCCCGGGACATTGCAACTGTCATAAATATGAGTCAGTTGCCATGTGTCTACATTTTGATCATGTGACCAGGGGCATATTGCCATGGTCATAAGTGAATAATACACATAAGTCACTTTTTTCGGTGCCGTTGTAACTTTGGTCACTAAGTAAACTGTTGTAAGTCAAGGACTGCTTTAACATTTATCCAGATGTTCCCACTCAGTTTAAGATAGTCAACTAGGTTTTCTTAATGTTTCACTAGTTTTATGGACAAGCATGTGTAACCTTTTTCCAAGCACCTTTGGGACAACCATGACCTGGATGACTCCATAGATATTTCTTCATAGACATTTCTCATCCCATTTCACCTCTTCTGTGCTAATTTAAATTCCTTCTACACTGTTGCATCACCCCTTCTAAACTCCATCCTTTCCTTGTTGCATAGTTCTTACTTCTGTTCCAAGCTACTTTCAACACTTCAGGGTTACCCTTGAGGCATCATTGCTGCTGCCAGTATCAAGTGCCAACCACTGTAAAAGGGCAGCTTCGTTAGTTTTGTAGTCAGAGTAAAATGGAGTAAAACCTTAGTTAGGCTTGTGTATTTTTTTTTCAATTTTATCGATTCTTGCGCCTTTCTCTGAAATGTTTATGTAGAAAAGCAATTTGGAGGTGGTTTTCTTCATAATCCACTCACAATTATTCCCTCTGTACTGAGAAATATCCACCTCCAAACAAAATATATTCCATTCTTGGGTATAGCAGTGTCAACTTATGGCATGAGTTTAAAAGAGCACAGGTGACTATTCAGGAAGAAAATAATGTTCTAGCGTTTGCACATAATAATACATGGCTCCTGGGATTTCTGAATCAAATGGAAGTTTATGTAGAGAATATATCCCTTAAAAGCTGCATAAGTATGCATGAAGTATGCATTCCACATGGTGGCCTGTCCCTTCTCAGGTTCTAGATCAGTGTTTGTCTTACTTAGCAGCTTGAAAGTGTGTGGACTGGGGAATGACTAGTTAGGGAATTCTGGAAATTTGGAAATCTTCCAAATTCCTAAGGTTGAGAAACACTGATCTTGCTGGGGGAATGGCTGACTGGGGAATTCCAAGAGTTGAAGTCCACACATCTGTTTATTATGGTTGAGAAACACTGATCTAGATAGTATATTTTTTTGTGTACTCATGCTCTTCCATATCACACATTCAACACTAATCAGAGGGTTTTTCAAGTAGCATCTGACCAATCTTGACTAAACTGTGATGCTAAAAGAACTGGCCTGGCGAGGACTTGGATGAGTAGCCAACGTGAAATCTCAGGGCTCTAGGACTGTATCAAAAAATTGAGAAGGCATTCCAAAAGCCTGTGTCAAGCCACCCTTCCCAACAGGATAGGATAGGATAGGATAGGATAGGATAGGATAGGATAGGATAGAATAGAATAGAATAGAATAGAATAGAATAGAATAGAATAGAATAGAATAGAATTCTTTATTGGCCAAGTGTGGTTGGACACACAAGGAATTTGTCTTGGTGCAAATGCTCTCAGTATACATAAAAGAAAAGATACATTCATCAAGAATCATAAGGTACAACACTTAAGAAGATGTTAATCTTCCAAAGAGCAGATGTTACCCCTGACAGCCAGTGTGTTAAGTTGTGAATCAGTTGGATTGGGACTAGGAGACCTAGGTTGAAGTCCAACCTCAACCATGAAAGGTGATTGGTTGACTTTGGCCTTCTCTCCCCCCCTTTCTTTCTTTTCTCTCTGACTCAATCAATCAATGATGCATGGGTGGTATTAAACTATTATCGAAAATACTATTATTTTGTTATTTATTAACACAGGAGGTGCATAATGATTTTCCTTTGTCCTCCATTCCCCTCATCACACTTTGATCTTTCACTTTAGCAAACTTGTGGAGATTTTCATTGCATTCATCATAATCTCAGTCAGAGAAATAGCACTTGTCACACAGTGTAAAGACGGCAGTTGTTAAATGATGACTCCTTGTTGCCATTTAAGACAAAGAAAGCTATGAGGGTTCATGGAAAGAGAATTGTTGTTATATGCATATGTGAGACATGGTTTGCAGGAGAGTGGGGGATTTGTTGTTCTTTTCATGAGTTGAGATGCTCTCCCTCTCTCCTTCTCCACAAATCTTTGCTTTTTATAGCAGGGAATGTGTCAGAGTTGGAGCTGAACCACGGTTTACCCAGAAGGCCATAACAAACATTAAAAAGAAAGTACAGGGCAATCCTGTAATTGTCTACTCCAAACTAAACACTATTCAGTTTAGTGGGAATTATATCTAGTTAAGCATTTACAACAGATGTAGACAATCTTCCACCTAAAGGCTACCTAGCTCACTGCATAATATCTATCCTCAGAGTTTCTATAGGATTTGACCACTTCTCCCTCTATTCAGTTGGTCTCCTTTTTCATGCAGCTTGTTGGATACTTCCAGTCCTAAAAACACAATGATGAATGTGTGTGTGTGTAAACAGATGATCGATCCATGTGATCCAGAAGCAGTCCACAAGCCTGGAAATGCTTTGAAATTATTAAAACTGCAGCTTTAGGCAATCTATACAGACCCTGTTAGTTACATGTATTTTGTATGGAATTGTGTGTTTCAAACTCTATATCAGAGTTATCGAACTCAAGTCCTGGGCGCCAGATCCAGCCCACGATGTGGTTAGATCCTGCCCACGAGGCTGCCCTGGAAACAGCAAAGGACCAGCGCCTCAGCCCCAGCCCAAGTTGGCCAGGAACTGATCTAAAACGTGGTGACAGCCATCTGGGCTGGAAAGTGGTCAGCCTTACTTCTGCTGGGCCTTCCTGGAGTAGCAAGAGGCCGCTGCTGCCCCCTGGGCACGCGCTGGAGACAATGGAACCACCCAGCCCACCACTGGCACCCTCCCCCCTGACATGAACAATGTCGAGCTGGCCATGACCACCCCAGCCACAACCACCCAGTCGGCTGTGATTACCCTGACACGACCACTCCAGCCATGCCCAGCCAGCCCCACAAGGTCAGTCACAACCCTCATACAGCCTCAATGAAATCTAGTTTTGAACCCCTGCTCTATGTAGAGAAGTTATATCGAGGTTCAGTTTAGTTGTCCTGCCTAATGACAAAAACTACAGAAAGTCTCCATTGGCGATGGTCTCAATTCGGTCATTTCAAACATCACAGCAAGAAAAGCATTTCATGTTTCATTATGCACATTAATTTTATTTGCAAATGCAAAATGACCTACAATTGTGTGATTGTGGCGCTATGTAAAGGTAGAAATATAGAAAGTATGTTACTGTAGGCATTTTAATTTTAGAAATACTTCAAAGAATAGGATTTGTTTTGCATAATTCTAAGCTGTAGCTTGGAATTCTGTTAGGTTACCAAATTATTAGCAAGGTAGAGAGAAAATAAATTATGAGTTCTGAGATATTTATATTTTTGTTTTTTATTTATTTATTTCTTCTAGTTATTTCAGTGGAAGCAGCTGGAGAATCTCTATTTTCGTGAAAAGAAATTTGCAGTAGAAGTTCATGATCCTCACAGGTAAGTAACCAGGCACTTACTCTAACTGTCTGACTGGATGAGTTGCTAATTCTGTGAGAGTCTATGCTTATTCCATACTCACACATGATGCTAAGTTGTAATGTGCATCCGTCCCAAGGGGGCAAAATGTTTTATAATATTATGGCTCTCCCCATTATGCTAATCTGAAAGGAATGAACTCAACATCACTGCTTCCCAGGCATATGTAAGTTACATGAAATAGCTCCATGCAGCATTTATGTCTAATATAACCAGAGGATTAGCATTGTAGCCCTTTTTTCCATTACTATTCCAATCAGTTCCTGAAAAAAAGCCATGGATATATTTATAATAACAATAAAAAAGTTGGTGTAAACTAAAAAAAAAAACTATTGAAAGAATGTTACATATTAAGTGTTGGAAAAAAAAGTGGTACAAATTATCCACATAAACAAATTCTAATGCCTTTTAGAATGTTTAGGATTATAATGTTCAGCTTCTAGAATTCCTACAGTAGGGATGTCAAACTCATCATGTTGTCACGTCACTTATTGAGACTTTTCCCCTCTTCGCTAAACCGGGAGTGGGCATGGCCAACATGGGATGCATCCAGCCCACGGGCCAGAGTTTGAAACCCATGTCCTACAGCATTCATTCTGCCTGGAAATTTGGGGGACTTGTAATCCTGAGGCATTGCTTTGCAGAAGGCTGATATAAGGCAAATGCATAATTCTTAGTGGGCAGAAGCAGTTCAAGCAGATCAAATATTCTGGAAACATTTAAAATGAATCCCAGACCACCCCTTTAAAGTGAAGTATATATTTTGGTGTTTTATTTTTAAAACATCTCTTCCAACTCATACAAATTGTAAACCTTTGGAAAGCACAAGATTCCTTCAAGTTAACCTATATTCAGAAGCCACAGAGTAAACTGTAAGAAACTAATTAAGTTGATATAACAATAAGCTGGAATACAACATAATCACTACACACTTCATCCAAAAGGGGGATATGTTTATATTTCATCCATCTGTGCACTGAACTAAGACAGCAAGGAGAGCTGAAGAACAGCCCTAGCAGCTTTGCTCCTCATGTCAATATTGGCTGAGAACGTTTCCAATGCTGGCTTCTGGAAACAGCAATGGAAATTGTGCTCCACCTCAGCTCTTCCTTCAGAAACATGTACATTTCCATCTGTTGTTTTTCACTAACATTTGCAACAAAACTTTTTATAGTTTTTTTAGTTCAAAAACTATTTGTATAATTCTGAAGGAAGTAGCTTCGGGTTTGTGACTCAGTTTTCCAGTGAAAGAAAAGCCTAGGTGTAAAGAAACCTCTTTTCTAGCCATGTGGAAAAGGTGGGGCCTTGGGGATGGGCCTGAGTAAATTCTGCTTTGTCTAAAATTTCTCCCTGATAGTTCTCCCCCCCCCTCTCCTATTGGGAATGAACGTTCAGTCTTTCTAGCAGTTGCTGCCGCTTCTTATATAATCTAAGTGGTACAGCCAGGCACGGGTTTGCTATCTTAGTGAGAACTAAGCTAGGTACAATATAAACATTTAAAAATTGAAGTGTTAACTATTTGGGAGTCCAGTTAGTTGGTTAATTGCTTCTTTGCTTATTTAACCTCTACATACTGCAAAGATTAATCTAAGAGGTTGACTTCACATGACTAGAATATGTTCCCCCGCTCTCTGTCCCTCCCTCCCTCCCTCTCTCATTTACAAAAAAGCAATATTCACTTTAAGTTATAAAAAAATGCTTAGAATTTCAGTATCAAGACGGACCTTTGGACAGAGTGGCCTCGTAGTACAAACCTGGTATGCGAACACTTCTCTAATCAAATCCATCTGGGTGATGGCAATCAGTCAACATCAGTTTTACTTGGACAGGAAACAAAGTAAAGTAAGTGATCTTCAGTGATATTTAATGTAATTGTAGAATTGTCCTATGGATTTGAAGTCTTTCAGAGTGATTGTATAAAAATAGTCCTTGGGTTGTAACAGCAATTGGGATTGGAATTTCCATCGCTAAGCAGTGGCACCTTAACATATTGCTTTGTGATAGCAATCCCGGCCGTCCCTGTTGCTGTTGTTAATAGAAGATAGTGAGTTGTTAAGCAAGAACCTAACATGATTTGCAACTTATGACTTCTTGCCAGCTTCCAACAAGCACAGTCAGGAAGCCAGCACAAAGTTGCAAGTCCCAGGGGCCTTGTAAACGGGCCAGTGGATGGATAAGTGCTACGGAATGTGGGGGGGAAGAATGTATTTCCAGTGAGGTATGACTGGAATGGGCGGGCACTATAGAGTGTGACCAGGGGGTGTTGTAGGAGGGCATGCAAGCTATGGAGTATGAGATTGTAGGGATGTCATACTTCTTAGTGGGCTCCTGGGGAGAAGAAGCAGCAGCAGGAGCAATATGCAAACTTCCTTGCCGGCTCCCCCATTGACTTTGCTTGTAAGAAGCTGGCAGGGGAAAGCTGCAAAGGTCGTTCGTGTGACCATGGGACACTGCAAATGTTATTTGTCTGTATGTTGTATCCCACCTTTATTATTTTGACAAAGGCACATATAAGTGCGAGTTGATTGCCAAGCTCTTAAATTGCGATCATGTGACCATGGGGATGCTGCGACGGCCTGAGTATTGCTGACAAATGCCACTTGTTCAGCACTATCACAACTTTAAATGGTTGCTAAATGAGTGGTTATTAATTGAAGATTTGCATTCTTGCAAATTAGCCCAGGATATTTTGTAGCCTACCTTGTAAAAATATCCATTTTAGTGATTCTGAACAAACGGCAGAATTGATTCTTTTATCATTTGTAAATATTTTAAAATTCAGTGGGAGGATGGAAGACTGAGTTGAAAGGCTAGAGTTAATACAGTCCGATTTTGAGTATTATATTTGAGCAGCAGTGCAGTTATTTAATCTATTTCATGCTACTTCCAGCCACAGCTAGAGAAATGTTCTAAAAAACACATTCAATGTTTCATTTATGAATTTCATTTTCCTTTCTTTTCCCTTATATTCATTTTGAACATTTCTAATGGTTAATTAAGCATTGGCTTGTGTTTTTAATCATTAATACCCAGAAAACAAGTTAAGTCTCAAAGCAATATATATTTAGCTTTGGGAAACAGTATGAAATGTGTTCTGCTGCCTTTTATTTTATTACAGTTAACTTGGTGATACATGGTAGTGCATTGTTTTTGTTTGTTTCGACATCTTTTCAGGCAAAAATTCCCTCAGCCAGAAGCTTAGATGATATTGCAATGGACCTGACAGATACAGGAGTGCCAAAAGTTTCAAAGCTAACAGCGTTGGAAGCAAAGAATCAACTTATTATGGCCAGCAATGGTAGCTTAATCTCTTCAGGTAGGAAGTCTTGCCCCTTTGAAATGTTTGCATCTCTGAGTCTTGCTTGTACCATAGAGCGTGGTGCTGGATACACTCTGAATCAGAGGTGGGGAACTATGGCTCTTTTACGACTTGTGGACTTCATCTCCCAGAATTCCTGAGCTAGTATGGCTCAGTATGCAGTTGAAGTCCACAAGTCATAAAAGGGGCCATAGTTCCTCACATAGAAGAAAACCTATTAATATGAGACCTCAGATAAATGTATAATTGGACATGGCAAATCCAACAAAAACCCTTGCTAGTCCTTGGCAAGCTTTAAGCAGAGGCTCAGGGGAGGAGGGAAATATCTCAATCAGTTTTGGGTATCGTAATGAGTTTTCATAAAGGAAATGCATAAACAGAAGGATAGAATCAAGATCACGTGAAGTGTGACAAAATCAAGATGGATGGAACCAATTTCTCGATCTCTCCTGCTTACCCTACATTGTGTACTTGTGAAACAGCAGTCTCAGGACAAGTTTTGTGCAAATGTGATAGTTTTGGTAATACGGAAGGGACCAATTATATTGCAAATAGTTAGATCTAGCCACCCCATTCTTGGGTACTCATGCAAGAAGTTACTAGTTTCAAGGAAGAAAAATAGTTTTACACTCTGTTTGATCTGCTTTACATTCAACCCTACTCTTGCTATGCAGGTTTATTCAGGCCAACTTTCAGGGTGGCATTAGGACATTCATATGTCATATCTTCTGTCTGCTCCACCCAAGTGGCCTCGAACTCTCTGGAATCAGAAGTCTCCTGTAGTTTTGCTCTGTATGTTGATATAGCAACCAATTTACCTGTCCCACATTCAGGGATTTGTGGTTCAATGTATTGAACTGAAATCTAGCCTTCCAGGACTGTAGTATAAAGGTCCCCAACCTTATATTGTATTTTAATATATTGAATTCATTGAAACTATATTTCCCAGAATTCATAGCTATTGTGGCCAGAGGCACTTATCAACATATCTGGAGTCACCCTCTTTGAAAAGGCTAATTTAAGAAAAAAAAACTAGCTGATTTGTTACCTTTATAACCCAACTTCCCTCTAGATTGCTCAAGATAATGTACTTTAGGCTTACTCCTTATTTTAGCCTCATGGTTTGTGGTAAACGAAGAGAAAACTGTTGAGCTAGTCTCCCACTGAACTCCATGGTCAAATGAGAATTTGAATTAGATATTCCATGATCTCCACTTTAGGACTTTAATCATACTTCCTCCCAATAAGCCTTTTTAGATTCTGTACCTTTGTAAGAAGGACAACTTTAATCTTCAAGTGAAAAAACCCGTTCCAAACCTTGTTTAATCCGTTGAGGAACCTACAACCATCTGATTTTTCGGGATCTGCTCAGCCTATATAAAAATACGTTTGAAAAGGAAGTATTAATATAATTATAAAGTATTATAGATAGAAATCAAGCAGTAACTGATATTTACTTCTTACAGCACTCTTGAATTTACCTCATAATCTAATGAGTTTAATCAATTTGCATATATTTAAAGAAAGCATTTGCATGCATGTTTGTCTGAGCTGAAATTAGGGAATGTTGATTGAATTTCATTGTAGTGCTGCTGAAAAGTCATGGTTAGTTTAAGGAAAGATGTGAAGACATTCTGTTCAAAGCTAAAGCTAACATATTTACAAGTTGAGTTGCAATACAAGTTGTGATATTCTAAGCATTTATATTCTCCCAAACACCGTTTTCCCACCAGTCTGCAAACAGTTAGTTAGCATTCTATGGCTATTTAGCATGTCTACTTCTCACAGGGATTCATTTGTACTTTTCCTTTCCTTTCCTTTCCTTTGTTCATTTTTCTTACATCCACAAATATTGGCTCTCGCCTCAAACCCTATATATTGCTTTTATAGGATCTCAAGATTCAGAAGTGAGCGAAGAGCAGAAGAAAGAGAAAATCTTAGAACTGAGAAAGAAAGAAAAGCTTTTGCAGGAGAAACTCTTGCAGAAAGTTGAAGAGTTGAAGAAGATCTGCCTGCGGGAGGCGGTGAGGCCCCTTGTTTTCGCTCCAGTCAAGCATGGAGTATTCATTCACCCTTTCTCGGGTTGCTAAGGGTGCTCTTCTTATATTCTGTAGGAGCTCACTGGAAAAATGCCAAAGGAATATCCTCTGAACACTGGAGAGAAGCCTCCTCAAGTCAGAAGGCGTGTAGGTACGACATTCAGATTGGATGACAATCTGCTACCCAATGAGGAGGTAGGTATATCTTTGTTTAAAAAAAAAAGAGACTGAAAAGCAATTATGCTGTAAAACAGAGCTCTAGTTTCAAGCATAAGACTCAGCTTTCCATCCTTCCGAGGTCGGTAAAATGAGGACCCAGATTGTCGGGGCAATATGCTGATTCTGTAAACCGCTTAGCAAGGGCTATGAAGTGGTATATAAGTCAAAGTGCTGTTGCTATTGCTATAACAGTGCTTCAAGCACACAAGCATTCGGAGAATATAAAATAGTGAGTGGTTATAAGCTGAAGCTTTATTCACCTCTTGGTAACTAGAGGAATAAAGCCACTAATCATCACTGCAACTATTTTTGCAAGTGTGCTCTTAACAGTGCTTAAGATGGCCACAGATTCAGGGTCTTTGCCATATTGATCATAGACTTACAGTCTTGCATTAAACTGCATTAAACTGTCAGTTGAACAGGAAGAAAAATGGGTTCAACACCCTGGCTGGGCAAAGTAAGGGTGGAGGTAGAGCAGGTTGTGTGGTTCTTTGTCACTTGAAAAGCAGGCTTCCAGGAAGGAAGCATGAGTTTCGCCCCACCAAATGAGCTTGTTTTGTTCACATATTTTTTTCTGCCCAGTATAGGAATGGAAGTAAAGTCCATGCTTTTCAGCTGAAAGGGCAGTTGGCATACTTTCTTACTCTCACTTCAGATTAATTCTGCTTCATCTTTTAAATGCGGATTTACTTTATCTAAACATATGTATCTCTACTGGGAAGGGATCTATAGAACGCTAGAATTAATTGGAGAAAGATGTTATGCATGTGCTTATTTAATTGTGGTCGTAATCCTTGACTTACGACCACAGGTGAGCCCAACATTTTTGCTGCTAAGTAAGTAAGTTATGTTAAGTAAGTTATGCCCCCATTTTACAACCTTTCTTGCCACAGTTGTTAAAGTGAGTCACTTGCAGTTGTTAAGTTAGTAGCACAGTGAATCTGGTTTCCTTATTGATTTTGCTTATCATAAGGTAGCAAAATGATCCCAGGACACTACAAACATCATAAATATGAGTCAGTTGCATCTATGACTCCAAGCATCTGGAGGCGTCGTAAGCGTGAAAAACTGTCATAAGTCACCTTTCTCAGTGCCACTGTAACTTCAGGCAGTCACTAAATGAACTGTTGTAAGTCGAGGACTACCTGTACCGTATTTCTTCATGTGTTCTCTAAATGTCCTTCAGTATTTGTAGGTTACCTTGCCTTAGATGGCATTCTTCTATAGAGCCGTGATAGTGCAGTGGTTAGAATGCAGTACTGCAGGCTACTTCTGCTGACTGCAATTTGATAGTTTGAATCTCACCAGCTCAATGTTGACTCAGCCTTCCATCCTTCCGAGGTTGGTAAAATGAAGACCCAGATTGTTGGGGGCAATATGCTGAGTCTGTAAACTGCTTAGAGAGGGCTGTAAAAACACTATGAAATGGTATATAAGTCTAAGTGCTATTGCTGTTCTGCAGCTGTGGCCTAAAAATACTGTCTAACTTTTCTTTTCCTGCTTTTTTTAAGCCCCACCCCCTCTTCTTCCCTCCTCAAAGCCGCCACTAGTTTAGGGGCATCTGGGGAGGAGTTTCCCAAAATTAAAGATGGTGACCTCCCAGGTGTGCAATTAAATTGCCATCACTTACGTGAATATGCATCACAGATCAAAAAAAGAGGCAGAGCTTGGATTATGGAAGTCATATATACCAGTGGCCCCCAACCTTTTTTGTGCCACGGCCCGGTACCGGCATCACAAAATGATCCGCAGCCCAGTACCGGCATCAGCACGCATGGCAAGGCGAGCCGAGCGACCGGCCAGCCAGCCGTACCCCGCTTCTCCCCGCCACCTTCAACTCCTCCTTTGTACCTTTGTCGATGGGCTTCGGGACGGCTTCGGGACGGTCGCTCGGCTCGCCTTGCCTTGGGTGCTGAAAGAATCCTCGCGCCTTAGTTTTGTTCGAAGCCGCCCCCCCTTTGATGAAACTAAGGCGCGAGGATTCCTTCAGGACCCAAACGCCGCTTTCCAACCGGAAAAGCTCACCGGAAGCACTTTCTCATCAAAACAAGATGGCGGCACCCAGCAAACCGGCGGCCCGGTAGAAAATGTTCCACGGACCGGTACCGGTCCGGGGCCCGGTGGTTGGGGACCCTGATATATACCATCTTGATATTCTGCAGATATTCTTGGTTGCACTATAGAAGTTTGGTGACATGTTTGTCAAAACATTGACAATACAATTGGCTGGAGTCTTGTCTGATTCCTATATGAGAATATGATGTATGAGCATTACGTCAGTGCTATCATTTTACTAAATGCAGTATACCGCAGGAAAGCTGGGCAGCTTTTTGTTCACAGAACGACAGTTGTGCAAATCCATAGCTGGTCCTGGAAAGATACCGAGCTTTATAATAAATGTGGTGTAAAAAGGTTGGCTTCTTAATGATGGGCTATGGCAGAATTAAAAAGACCTTAAAGCTGGTGAAAAGACCAGCTATTCTTCGTTACATGTATTGGGGGTGGGGGGAGAGAAACCTGTGATGGGGTTTTTTGTTGTTGTTGTTTGGTTCTTAAAAGTATAGCTTAAATTGATTGTCGTGTCTTCTATGGCAAATCCCAATTGATGGGTGGACTGATTTAAATCTCTGTAGGACCCAACCCTGCAAAATCTGGAAAGCAATTTTCTCATCCAGCAAAAGTTTGTGGAAGCGGCAAAGAAGTTGGCTGGTGAGCCAGACCTGTGCAAAAACGTGAAAAAGAAAAGAAAACAAGAGTATACAGAGGCTGTGAAGAAGCTCCAGGAGACTGAAAATTCCATCAATGAATATAGAATTAAATGTGGGAAGAAACCTGCACAAAAGTCCACCCTGATTTTACCAGGTATCAAAAAAAAAAAAAAATCCCGCCTTTAATTTGTGCTGCCAGGGCTCTTTGTCTATCGTTATGCACCTCTGTCTTTTCCAGTGTTATTTTTCCTAGCATATTTATGTAGCAGAAATGAAAGATCCAGGCTCCTCAGAGGGGGGAAAAAACAGTTGGACTATAAGCCTGACTTCAGCAAACGTAGGAGTTTACCTGTAATCTGATTGTCATGTTTTCATGTAAGATGTGGTTCAGACAGAACCCAGATGAAGCGTTTTATTCCGGCAAGTGCCAACACGTTGGAGGGGAAAAGCAAATTAAAGCATTTTAATTTGGCTGGGAGGGCGCTGGTGGCATTCTTCCAGGCAAAACTAGTGTGGCACCGTGTTCTGTCAAGAATCAGATGCTGATTTGAGCAGAATGTGGCTGTTTGGTGTGTTTGTTGGCTACGCACAATCCATAATAAATCAAGCCGATCCTTAGAGCATGGCCTTCCTCCACCTGCCCGACTCCTAACAAGTGTTGGGTGGGAGAGGAGGAGAGGGAAGGGGATAAAAAGGCAGCTGAGTTGGTGAGTCAGATTTTTGTGCTCAGCAAGACAATAAGAATGAAGCCTGCATAGCATAAAAATAAAACAACCAATCATAATGGTATATACAGGCAGTCATTTATCGGCAGCAATTGGGATTGGCAAATTTATTGCTGAGTGATGCAGTCATGAAGTGGAACATCACGTGCCCACGTGGATTTACAACGTCAGTTCGGCTGTAGCCATTATGTGAATCACCGTGGTTGTTAAGAAAGCTGTCACATGATTGGGACTTGTGATTTCCTGCTGGCTTCCCCATTGACTTTGCTTGCCAGTATGTCACAAATGGCAAACCCGTCAGTGCCGAATGCTGTGACAGCCACAAATTCAAAGACTGGTCATAAACTACTTTTTCAGTGCTGTCATAATTTAGGTTGCTGAACGGGGCAGTCGGTAAACGAGGACTACCTGTATCAGAGCAATGTGCTCCAAACTGGAATCTTCCAGGTGTTTGGGAACCAAAGCTCTTGGGATTCTCAACCAGGGAGGAAGAGGAATAAACAGATCCAGAAGCTGATAATATAGTCCTCCAAACTGAGGTTATACAAGGAGAGAGCGAGTTCACGCCCATGGGCTCAGCCCGTTATATCACCTTTGCTGATTCACAAGGCAGTCCAAGAAAAGCAGCCAAAAGTCTTTGCCTTTCAGAATTTCAACATTCCACAAAGCAGGAAGAGCCAGGCAATTGCCAAAGTCTTTAAAATGAGAAAGGATCAGAGCCTCACAAGCATTAAACCACTTTCTTGCTTTTCACCTGTTCCCATAAGAATGACTGTACATCACAACAGAGGGCGCAAGGTCACTTGAAAGGGACTCCACTCCCTTTTCACCCTGTGAGGGTCCAGTTATAGTCGGTGAACAGATAGCATAAGGGAAGATGGGGTTGAACCGATTGCACAAGGGATTTAATGAACTGGCTCTATATTTTATAATCCAAGAAGGTGAGGTTTTCAAACTTTGGATCAGCTGCCTATGGCCTCTTGTTTATGTCCCAAACTTGGCCTTTGGAGAAACTTTTGACATATTGTTAAACTCCAGTACTTGTACCTGTTTTACCCACTTGTTCTTATAACTATTCCTTTCACTTTTCATCACTTTCTTGATTTTTTACATACATGAGCCATCACCGAGGGCTCTCTGTTAGTGGGTAGAAACTTGCCCCTTATTTTTTACATAGGCAGCTTTAGTAATCTCTCAGCATACCTTCAGCTGGAGAGAGCTTTTAATAAGCAAAAGATTAATTCACCAGTCAAATCCTAAGCAATCTTACTTATATTTTCAAGAGTCAACTGGGCTTCCTTGTTTTTCTTTAAAGGAGTTTCGCTTCTCATTCAAGAACCTTCTTCAGCTCTGACTGGATGGTGGGGAATGGGAAGATTTAAATCCTTTAAATTCTTCCATTCCTCACCATCCAGTCAGAGTCGCAGAAGGTTCTTGGATGAGAAGCGAAACTTCTTCAAAGAAAAACAAGGAAGCCCAGTTGACTCTTGAAAAAGCACCTTTAGGACAACCATGACCTGCATGACTGAGAATCTCCATAGACAATCTTACTTACACTTTATTAGATTTTATATATTTTTATTGCCAGGGTGGAAAAACTATGGTCTATCCAGACTTTTTCTTTCTTATCAACAATACTGGTGTTATGTGGAAGGTGCTTGTCTTTTTGAATCCTCAAGTCACTTTAGAGATTTTAGCTTATTCAAGAGCGCTTCACCTTATTCATTTTCTATTACCTATTATTATTATTGTTGTTTGAGAAGCCAGTGTGTTTGCGGTGATTTAATTTTGAGGGCTCCAGGCATTCAGGTGTTTTACTCTGGGGAGTTTGGATAAGGCATTCACTTCATCTAGTTGTAAACAGCTCCCTGCTGGGCAGACAAGTAGGAGGGAAGGTATTAGATAGGTATGAATGATTTGGCCCAGAGCTGATGTCTGCATTTTGAAAAGTTTTGAAATGTGTGTAGGAGAGCTTGCTAAATGCCTCGATTGATGGGAAACCAACTGGTACAGGGAGAAGTATATGAAGTTCTGTTTCACTTACCTTATCAAATAGAAAGCTAAGCAGATTAGAGTTATTTATACATAAGCATTTTCATAGAGGAAAATGATTTGAATGCCAGAAATGGATTCTTTGAAGAAGTTGGAAAAACTATGAATGTTGCCAGTGGCTTAGAATGAAAGCTGAGAAACTGATCAGAGCTTTGACAACTGGAGCAACAATTAATGATTCAACAAGCATATTCTACAAGGAGTCAATTCCTTGGGTAGAAAGCTTGCGGGATATTTCAGCGACTGATGTGCAAGTGAACTTGGGAACTGCACAACTCTTGGTGCATTTGTTCTCTTGTCATCAGCATTATTTCTGATGACAGCCTGGCATTTACTTTGATTTTCAAACTGCAGTTTGTATCTCGCCCTTTGCTCTACCATTAAGAGCTTCAGGTTAGAGCAGTGTTGGCACCACCTTACTATGACCTTAGAAAAAAGTCATGCGTTGATTAACTACATTCAGTAGTTCTAGTGTTTCCCTTTTTTGACATCCAGGACAAGAGGAAATAATCTTTCCTGGCCTTTTTCCAGCCAAAGAGAATCATAAAAGCAAAACTCTAAGCACTTAGCTTGGAAAGGCTGAAGGCAAAAGGAGAAGGGGACAGCAGAGGATGAGAGGGTTAAATAGTGTCATTGAGATAATGAACATGAATTTTAGCAAATTCTGGGAGACAGGAGGACAGAGGAGCTTGGTGTGTTATGGTCCATGGGGTTGCAAAGAGTTGGACATGACTTAAGTGCAGTTGTTGGATTCAAATGTTTTTACTACCGGTTCTGTGGACATGGCTTGGTGGGTGTGGCAGGGGAAGGATACTGTAAAATCTCCAGTCAGAGGTGGTATTTGTCGGTTCTCTGAACTACTCAAAATTTCCGCTACTGGTTCTCCAGAACTGGTCAGAAGTTGCTGAATACCACCTCTGCTTAAGTGAGTGAACAACAACAAAACAACTCTGTAGATCAGGGAGAGGCAGCAAGATGCTCTCCAATGATCCAGTAGGTTTCCCTAATTTTGGTCATGAGGATTTTTTTTTTAATTGAAAACACAATTTTCATTGAAGACCCAATTGCAGAGAGAGGTTTGATTTCAATATATTCTGGGAATAAATTAAATATATCGCACACTCTTGTCAGTGTCAGTTGTCCTCAGTAAGGGCTTATGATGTTAAGATTCCAGCGCACTGCAGTGTTGTAACATTTGTCCAAAGTGCAGCAAATGTTGTGAGACTATGTAGCCCTTGTTATCTTCAATAGCCACTATTGTAGTATGTAAAAGAATCTTAAACATTAATAGCAGCTGACTTGTTTGGTTTCAGTATATCGGTGACTTAGTCTGTTCTGTTAGCGTCTTAGCGATGATTACTTGGAGCTAACATTCCAGCTAATGAAAAGCAGACTCCTCTTTACTGATAATTGTTCTTAATTATTCATTTTACTCGTTCCATAGCAACCTATCCTGGAAGTATGTGATCCCTGAGTGATTACATGCAGTCTTAATGATTGTATGCTCTGAAGTATAATGTATCTACAGTTCCAAACTGCAGCTTCGTTGCTCATGAGTATTCTTTTTTTTTTTTCCTTTTTCTTTTTGCTTCTCCACAGATGAAATTATCCCATCTGAGAGCAGCTCTTTGTCTGACACAACATCTTTTGAAGACGGTGTGTATTCCCATACTTTTAACATTTAAAAACAAAATTCATGTGGGAAATGTTATATTCTGCGTTGCTTGCCTTCTCTGAGTGTGGAGGTAAAGAGAGGAAATGTGGCTTCTGTAACAGCTGGCATCTTTAAAAAGGCCAGGCTACTGAATACATATTCCTGTCAGCAAATGAGCCTGTCAAGCGGTTGGGCTTTAAGGATGTTCACGGAAGGAATGTTTTCCATGTCTGGGTGTTCTGCAGTCCAGTGGTGGTATTCTACTGGTTCTGCCAAGTCGGTAGCAGCGATGAGCACAGAGACCGAACCGGTTCCCTCTGCTGCTCTGCTATTGGGCCCACCCACCTGGGCTTCCTGCTTTATCCCCTGAATTTGAAGCGCAGCTGCTTTGCGCGGCACAGCAGAGTGCCGCACGGCAGCTGCTGAAGCGACCGGGAGAGTCAGGCTTGCAGGAGGTGAGTTGGAACGCCTCTGCGCCTGCGCAAAGTACACGTTGGTGCACGCATGCCAAGCATGCCCATCAAGCCATGCCCACCAAACCGGTGATAAAATGTTTTGAATCCCACCACTGCTACAATCATATCTGTGTCCATGTGTTTGTAAGAGCAAACCCATAGAAGCAGATTTTCAACAGTGTGGGAGAGTAATGAGTGATGTTTGATGTCAGTTTATATTCTGGTGTCTCCCCTGTCTGTGTAAGGTGGTCTTAGGGATTCTTTTAGTGAGAATCCCTAAGACTTCCCCCACCCACACAGACAGACAAGACATCAGAATATAAACTGACAGCAAACAGCACGCCTTACTAGCCCTGATGATGTTACCTGGTTTAGGGTAATTAAACATCTACAAGAAAACAAGCAAGCTCAGAGAGCACCAAAGAACCCCTCATTTCAACCCTGAGCTACAAATATTATCCTTTACTGCTTTTCAATCTGTTTGCTACAGTTAAACAATAAAGCCTAAATTTTTCTTTATTTCACCAGCATGTTCATTTTCCCTGGCTCCAAAAGAACCGATCGCCCAGGAATCTTGATCACTGACCTCATAGACTTGGCGGTTTACAACATTAAAATAAACCCATAAATATATATGCAGTGTAAAAACAAAATGAAAACACTGCAAAAATACAGGTTATAACTAAAAGATGTGGGGGAGGTAGGGAGCAGGAGGTGAGGGGAGGCAAGGAGATGGGATCTGCTGTTGGTCCATCAAACACCTTCAATGTGATTATGCACTGAACCAGTGAATTCTCAGCCAAACTGATCCCAGATAGTAAAGAAGGTTATAATTCCGACCCATTGGTTTTTATATAAAAAAAGAAACTCACGTGCTAATGGGTTAAAGCAGAAAGAAGAAAGACGGTACACTGATACAATCTCCTAATCTTCACAAACATTTAACTCATATAAACAAGCAATTGTTATCCTTTTTAATCTTTCACTGTTGCCATAATGATACCCGGGTTTGTTACTTCCTGCCAGCTAATACTGGGCTGGGTTAGCTACACTCCCTTGCCTAGTCATTAGTCCTAAAAAAAAAACCACTGTCCTACTTATTATCACATTAAAAAATGTGCAACAAATGCCAAATTCTTTCATTTTTATGAGGCAGTGCTTTCCAGTTGGTTGGTCTCAAGAATCAAGCTGTGAGTCTACCAGCATTGGATTGAATCATATGGTCATGTTCTGAAGTGGAGAAAAATTTTGAATTCTCAATTTCTAAATTTTTACTCTGGAAATGATCAAAGTGGCCTGAGTTTTCCACAAGTGGTCAACCACTGACCAGTTTATTAGCCAGCAGCATTTAAAGATATTTTACTATTTTTATCACTTTACACAGTACATTCCGAGATGCCTAACTGGGAAAAGAAAAAGAAAAGATTGATGTGATCAGTTAAAAGTTTCAAACAATAGTTAACTGTAAGCCAAGTAAGAAACTGCTAATAAAAAAACCATCATTGTGGCATAAAGCTTTAATCCTCCTCCAGTTTTTGAATGGAATCTATCCATTTAGACTTCTTTGAAGTCCTAGCTGAACTAAAGATAGAATTTTCAGGTCAAAATCATTCCAGTTTTATTTGTATCAAATTCTTTTCAAAAATTGTCCAATCAAAACACAGCCTTAGCATAATGCATCCTCAAAGTTCTTTATGACTAGGCAAAACCAGTTGTCACCCCACAGTCTTGTACATGGAATAAAGTGTTTAATTACAAGATGATTGAATGTTTAGTTGGCTTTCCTTGGTTGGATGAATTTAATCCAGACAGCATGCAGCCATCTTTGTGAAATAATCAAATTTGGAATCATCATTGAACAGTATTATGGACTCAATAATTTAATTTGCTTCTTCATCTCAGATTCCATGGTTTTGTGAAAGTAACTCGGGTTCATAAAGGAAGAAATTGAATATTTTTTTTCAATAGAAATATAAAGAGTTATGTAAGGATTAGATAACACAAAATCATGTTGTTTCTTCCAATTCTTTTTAAACAGGCAATACTTCCCTTACTGTGGCGGTCCAAAGAATAATTTCTCTGCCAGCCTCTCCACCACCCAAAACTCTTGGAGTGGAGAAGATCCATCTCCGGAAGTCTTCCATGAATGAACAACTCTTAGAACAGAGGCACTCCAGGTATGGGACCATTGATGATATTCAAGCTACAACAGCTTTATTGCTTTGTTCTTTTTTTAAAAAAAAAAATCATGCATTACCTGCTACTTTAAAGTGACAAGGGCTTTTTTTTTTAAACTATTGCTATGATTGATTGTTTTTCTCCTAAAAGATGCATATGAAATGCCTTGTAACAAAAGAGCTTGCATTCTGTTTTCATTGTGATTTCTATAGTCTGAGCTTTCACCTACGAAGTGAATGTAAATTTATAGATACTTCTGGAACAGATTGTCTCAGAGAAGATCTAGCTATTTAGTTTCTCCGAATTAACAGTAACTTGATATCTCATAATTAATCAGATTTTGCAGTGGTCTTGAACATCTCAACTGCTTGGCACCAGAAGCTAGCTTTATAGAAAAAAAATGGCAGGACTAAACAAACCACTCAGACTCAAAAGATTTTCCTTTCCAACTCCTGATCAGGGAGTCATTTTAAGCAGCTCCTTGCTAAAATGCCAGAACCAGAAAACTGGGAACTCCTTATACATGCATGATGCCATATGAATAGAGCCAGGGCCCTATCTGAATCTTCATTAATATTTTTTTATTTATTAAATTTATATGCCATCCCTCTCACTGCTAAAAAGTCTCATTAGGTGAAACTTTCTATTTTTCCTTGGTATAACATATAAGAATAATATATTAATAGTTCATAATGAATGTGTGCCATTAACTTTGATCATTTCTCCCTCTGCCCTGTAACAACTGTTTTGCAAAGTAGTTTGCAGTATGATGCTCTTCTGCAGGCAATCTGTTAGCACTCGCTATTCTATGCGCTGTTGTTGTTGATACTCTTTGCATTGGTTTGAATATACTGGGATGATGCTGTTCACTAGATCCCTTTGTTTCTAATCATAGAGATTCTCTGTCAACTCACAGCAGTCCATATCGGACAGCCGAGAAGCAACACCATGGAGGAAGAAGTATGCCCACAACACCAGTCCTCACACGCAATGCCTACAGTAGCAGTCACTTGCAGTAAGTCATTCCCATGCTATTTTTTTTTCTCCTCACTTGAGTACCCATTCGTGTACAAAAGGCATATCACGGCCAAAACTTCTAAGTGTGTCCACTATAGTTCTCAATTGAGTTGCTACAGTTGAGGTAAATTTGATGCATAAACATCTTTGAATCAGAATTCTTGAACAGGAAGTTTATTTCTAATTATTTTTAGGTACAGTAGAACTAAATGGGCTTATAGTCTTCAAAGCTAGAAATTGAGTCAGCCAAAATAAGGGTTGGCCAGGAAGTACAAAAGACAAGACAATTATGGTTTTACACAAATGGATGTGGCAGGTTTGGGAGGAAGAGATTTGGGATTTTAATGAATTGAGGGATTTAATATTTTATATATGAACTTCAGAGTAAATTTGTTTTACTCTGAGTAATGTTGTTTTCCTTTGGAAATCGCACATGTAGGTTTGTCTAGAAGTTTTGAGGACCAAAGAATGGGCATTTGGGATTTAACAGAAAGTGCCCACTTCTGAATTTTGTTGCTTTAGGAGAAGTAATAGTGTCATATTATTACCTAAGTTAGTTTGAAGGTGAATTGCCACAGTGGTGGGATTCAAAAAATTTTACTACTGGTTCTGTGGGCATGGCTTGGTGGGCGTAGCAGGGAAAGGATACTGTAAAATCTCCAGTCAGAGGTGGTATTTGCCGGTTCTCCAAACCAGTCAAAATTTCCACTACCAGTTCTCCAGACCTGGTCAGAACCTGCTGAATACCACCTCTGAATTGCCACCTTAGACGCATTCATTTTTAATTTTCATACAAGATAATATTTTACCTGTTTAGTTGAATGTTATTGTGCTGATTATAAAGGTAATTAACTGTTCACTTACAAATTATTTCTGTGATAAGGTATGTAGGGTTTATTCATTAGCAGTGAAATACCAACTTGCTTGTTATTCTACAGTTTTATTAAAGTATAGACTAAGGAACGGCGTGGTGGCCTATTTGTGGAGATACTCACCTCCCACTTGGAAGGTTGAGAGTTTAATCCTAGGTAGCAGCAGATGTTTCTCTCCTGGGCACAAAGATAAAATATTTGCTGCGAACTCTGCATTGGGGTCAGGAAGGACAGCGGCCAGTAAACGCTCAGCTCCATACAGTTTGTTCTGACATTACCCTGAATTACAGGATTGTAAAAAAAGGGATTTTATTGAACTAAAGTTCTTCTGCATAATATAGCACTAATGTGGCCCTTTTCAACTTCATATGTAAATCCTGCCTGTTAGGATTTTCCTTGAGAAAAATCTCAAAAAAGTGATGCTGCTATCTGTAGGTATCTTGCTGTGTTGTTGAATTCTATCATGTATTTACTTATCTTTTACTTTGCCTGCTTTGTTTGAAATATACCATACTTTCTTTGCCTCTATTACTCTATGACGGGTGTCAAACTCAATTTCATTGAGGGCCGCATCAGGGTTGTGTTTGACTTCAGGGGGCTGGGGTGGGTACGGCCAGGGTGGGAATCGGCAGTTCGATGTCAATCATGTCATACTCTGCCAGCAAAAACAGGCTCTCGAGCTCCATTTCTGGCTGCGACAGCCTCCTGCAACCTTCTGCCAGCAAAAATGGAGCTCGTGAGGGCCTCACATGGCCCTCCTGAGCTCCGTTTCACTGGCAGAGGCACCGTATGCCAGTCCCTCACTGTTTTCAGGGTGGCCCCGCGCAGGCCAGATCTAAGCACCCTGCAAGCCGGATCTGGCCTGCGGGCCTTGAGTTTGACACCCCTGCTCTATGATGTTATTGGAACTGACTGTCTGCTTTCCTTGTAACAAAAAACCTGCTTCTTTTTTCAGACCGGATACATCCCCTCAGCGCTGTTTGGAGACCCAAACTACCTTCTTATCAGAAACCCCCAGTGAAAAGCCAATGTTCACCCTTTCAAAATCCCAAAGAAGTAGCAGCACAGAAATCCTAGATGACGGATCCTCCTACACCAGCCAATCCAGTGCAGAGTATTACTGCATGACCCCAAATTCAAAGCCCTGTTACAGCACCCAAACCCTTGACAACCGCACTAGAAACAGGAGGTGGTCCAAGAAACAGAACATTTCTGCTTCCAGCTCAGGAAGTATGCCTAACCTAGCCCAGAAGGACAACTGCAATGGGGTCTACATAAAAAAGGAAGGACAGATGCCAACCAGTTGCTACATTTCTGGCTATACCCCTTCTAAAGAGGGCGACCTATATTACAACAGTGGCTACGTCTATGAGAACGGCACAGAGGGCCAATACACGGTCAACCCTTCCTATCGTTCCTCAGCACCCTATGGGTACGAACGCCGATATCGGGAATTCAGATCTTTCCATGAAGACGAAATGGAGAGAGTGCCCCACAATCCGTACGCCACGCTGCGCTTGCCACGGAAGCCGTCCATGAAAACAGAGCACATCACTAAAAACATCCACAAGGCCTTAGTTGCGGAGCATCTCCGTGGTTGGTACCAGCGTGCCTCTGGACAAAAAGAGCAGGTTCTTGGCTTGCAGGCGGGCCTTGATGCTGATCGAGAGTCTCAGAGAGGCCTAGGCTATGCTGGACTACAGATGCTAAGTTGTCAAAGCAGTCATTCATCTTCTTTCTCTTTAGGTAACTATACTGCTTGTTAGGGTTTTGCTCTGTTCTGTGTCAGTGTTCCTCAGAGATCCTGCATGCTTCAGTCCAATGCATGAATAATGGCCTCTGTATTCTGACCCTGCTCCCCAAACACGACAAACCCTCCGAAGTTAACGATTCCTTTATTAGGGGCACTAGCAGCCCCGGCAAAAAGTTTCTCTCGCAGGCTAACAAGTCTGTCTGCGAGGGAGATGAATAGTTGCCTGCCACCTCTATTCATCTCCACCCCCTGCCTTTTATTCCCCAGAGCTTAGGGTGGGGCTTCGCTAGCAGCAGTGGCTCTTCCTTCCCAAGGATCGGCCCATGGATTTCCACTGCTCTCCTCTCCTCTGCCTTCTGCGCATCTGCACGTCAGGCACTGGACCCATCTGTTCCTCCCCTTCCTCATCCGCCACCTCCAGATCTGGGGGCTGTTGACTCTCCATCTGAGGGCTGATGGCCGGCCGAGGCTCCATCTCTCTCTCTCTCTCTTACAGCTCCATTCCCTCTTCCCCCTCGGAGCTCTCAGGTTGCCTTGATGCTGACCCCCTGACTCCCACGCCTTCTCCTCTTCTGATTCGGCTGCCGGAGGAGCCGGTGGCCAATAGGCCACAACACTCTTGCCGGCAGGAGGTTTTTCTACTCAGTATGAAATGTCATCCATTTATTTGCATGAACAAAGCTCTTCTTTTCATAAGTGGAAAGTCCTCCTCCCAGTGGATAGAGGGAAGTGTTTTAATTAGATTGCGAGTGTCTCTGACTGTCACTGGGGGGGGGGGGGGGGGGCTAGTGCTCTTATCCGATTAATCATCACAAAAAGGGCAAGGTGAAGTATAGAAAAGAGAATTCTCCAATTGTTGGGAGGTTAAAAATGTGAGCGATTTGGGAATCTGGAATATGAGCATACAAAATGCTTCACTATTATTAACAGAATAGTGGTCCACTATTTAAAAAGTTATTTTACCCAGTGTCATAAAATAGTGTATTCACTGCATACTGCATTCAGTGTCACAGCTGAATTTGTACAAGGGAGTCCAGGGTTGTACGGTTTGCCTGGAAGCCGAAAGTGTTTTCAACTGGTTTTTATGTTGTCATTTATTTTACTAGTGTTTTAAAAGGGGATCGTATTTTAAAATAAATTGGTAAATAGAATAAAAAAGAAAAGCCACTTTTACCACCCTAGTCTTCTCCTACCGCATTGGGAATGGAACACTTTGGATTCCCAGCAATGATAGCCATCATCCGGCTGATAATTTGGGGGCTGTAGTCCTTAAGTATCCCAAAAACATCTAGTTAGATGCACTAAATAGTATTAAATGGTAAATGTCTATCTGGGACAGGCAATCTACTATCCTTTTGATGTCTTAGACTGCAGTTTCCAGAAACACCTACCATTGCATGATCGGTGCTCATAGCAATAGTTCAAAATGTCAGATAATGTAGATCTTGGCTGTACCTGTTATAGATTATAGCTTGAGTGAGAGAATTACTCATGTGTAAATTTAGATGTCAGCACTTACCCACTATTTTATTCATTATTTACACACAACTTTTAATGTACAACTTGCTATTTAAGTGTACCGCTTCATTAGGTTAGTTTAGTCATGGCACTGTATCCTTTACAAAAGGAATAAGAAAAACTCTCAACCAAGTGTTGTGGATTTTAGCCAAGTATTGATCAGAGTCCTGTTATACTGGTTTTAAAAGAATGGTCATACTGGTTTATAATATGATCGGGTGTCAAGAGAATGTGCAGGAGGTTAAGAAATTTGAGTCAAGACTTACTGGTTCATACAAATGGCTCATCAAGTCCCACATCCTGTCTCCCATAGCGATGAGGGCCTGGAAGGAACCAAGTGTTTTAATCACAGGAGATACCTCTAAAAGGCACCCAATGTTTGTGCTGTGAAAAAGTCCGTAAGATAGTTATAATAGTTGTAGAATTTATTCTGCAGCTTCTTATTTCCGCAACTTTTTAAATGTTATTGAAAAAGAGGTAAAGTATTTGCAGCGTTTCTCATTGTTGTTAAAACGTTATCCCAAATGTATGGGTTTTGTACAGGTGTTTATCATACCATCCTGGAAATCGGGTAGACTTTTAAATAATAATAATAATAATAATAATAATAATAATAATAATAATAATAATAATAATAATAATAATAATAATAATAAT